GATGGATGGATGGATGGGTGCGTGGGTGGCTGCGTGGGTGGATGAATGAACGGATGAATGGGTGGATGCGTGCGTGGGCGGGAGGGTGGGTCAATGAGTGGGTCGGTGGATGGGTGGGTAGGTGGGTAGGTAGAAGAATGGATGGGTGGATGGGTAGGTGAGTGGATGAGTGGGTAGATGGGTATGAGAAAAGAGAGTTCCTGATGGATTTGGGAGGGTCCTAGGCTCTGTTATGTTCCCCTCTGCCATCACATCTCTCAGAGATCAACATTAGAGCAGTGGTCACTTTTTTGCAGGCAATAATAGTTTCCAGTTCTTGCTTTTAATATTATTAATAACACTAATAATAATTGCTTTTATTTTCCCTGTAATTTATGTTCTACAAAGCACTATCATGTACCTCCTCTTATTTGATCGCCAGGAGAATTTTGTGAAGTTATTCTCCCCTTTTACAGATGAGGAAACTGAGACCCAGATGGATTCTGTGATTGGCCCTGGTCCCACCCAGCAGTAATGAGCTGGAATGGACTCTGTGCTTTCTCCCCTATACCCCAACTTAGCCTGTCTTCTCCCAAGCATTTCTGTGGCCTGCTTAGCTGCTGAGATGTCTAATCTGAGTTGGTCACTGAAGCTGTCTCTGCCTGCCTGGGTAATCAGTGCCACCTCCATGCTGAGAGTCTCCTGTTGAAGCCAACAGGGATCTACTGGAGAGAGTTCAGGGGCTGAGGGAGTCTCTATGTTTATTGCCCACACCTGAATGGATAAGACAGTGCTCAGTCTGCTCCTCAGCGGGCCTTTTCTTAAAGGTGTCACATCCCCAAAGTCCTCTGTCACCTCCCATCACTGCTCCGTCCGAGCCTCTGCCAAGGGTCCTTGTTGCTGTTGTTGTTGTGTGCCATCGGGTCGATTCCATAGCGACCCCATGTGACAGAGCAGCCCTGCCCGATAGGGATTTCTAGGCTGTAATCTTTACGAGAGCAGTTCGCTAGGTCTTTCCCCTGCAGAGCCACTCGGTGGGTTCAAACCGCCAACCTTTTGGGTAGCAGCTAAGCACTTAACTGTTGCACCACCAGGGCTCCTTCTGCCAAGGGTAAAAAAAAAAAAAAAAGAACCCATTGCCGTCAAGTCGATTCCTACTCATAGCAACCCTATAGGACAGAGTAGAACTGCTCCCATAGAGTTTCCAAGGAGCTGCTGGTGGATTCAAACTGCCAACCTTTTGGTTAGCAGCCAAGCTCTTAACCACTGTGCCACCAAGGCTCCAGAGTAGTCAAAAAAACAGTTTTGCCATGAGAGTAACGAGGTACAGGAGTCCAGTGACAAGGCCCAGAAGGCAGAAGGGGAGTAGGAAGCTGATGATAGGGAACACAAAGTAGAGTA